CGCGAACAATAAACCGTAACTATTAACGATATTTCAGATAACGTAAAATAATAAATATCGTGAAAATAACGACCGCCCGCGCCGAGAGTTTTTAGGCTCGGCCGACCGACGCGTTTGCAAAAGCGAATTCATACACGTACGTGCGTGTCACGTGATAACGCCGGCGAACAATGGTGTCGACGGGATACCCTCGACGACGGGCCGTGCGTAATTGCGTAAACGGCCGATCGACACCGTGCCGCGGAAATAACAGTTAAGCGCGCGGCGCGTAACGATTTACCGCCGTTTGTCGGGAATTCGTATTTTCAGTCGGCGAGTGCAATGCGTCCAACGTAATTACCGCCCGTTTGTCGTCCGTCCGTGGCCGCGTTTTTCAGATTCGCGGGGACACACCGGAGCCGGGATGTTCGCAGAGGCGCGGGCACCCCTCAAACGGTTTTTACTCGCCAAGCGCCCGTCCGATTGCCCAATATTAACTAAACAATGAAACTCACTGTACAGATGGTTTTCTACAAATGTGTTCTGTTTCAACTGTACAGTCTATGGCAAGAGCCGGCGATTGCATTCTAAGCGAGGCCGTACAAAAAAAAAAAAAAAAAAAAAAAAAAACACGAACGCATTAGATAATAAACAATAATCGCCATTGTAATGACCAAATACGTCATAAATATAGATTAAGTTCGGACCGTGATGGACGTGACTTGGGAAATTTGTATGGGAGGTGCGGCGAGGGGGAACGGTCTGTTTCATTTCAGTATACCTAAAATCTTTAATAAACGAGATATAATATATATATCTCGTATGACGATTATTACATATGAATATAATATGATAAATGATTGTAATTAATATAACCAAAAGTATTAAAAAGTCTATAACCAGTTAATTATTATTCAAATTAAACTTTTATGCCAATTGAAGTCTTCTTCCTCATTGTGTCGGGTCTGCACTAAACTGCTCGATTATTGTACTGCGATTGATTTTACACGTTTTTTCAATGCGTAAAATAAACCTTGGGTTCGGTGACTTGGTTCACCCGTAGGGGTAGAGTTACTCAATGGGTTCATAATAAAGTACGACTGTATTATTAAACAAACAATATAGAAGCGACACTCGATCGGCCGATTACCGAGTTACGAACAAATTTGTTCGCAAGTTGGTGTATTTATTTATTTCTTAATGTTAGTTAGCTTAGCAATGCTCAATACACTCTGTTATTGTTTCAGTGTACGTTTATCGGGTATCGGTGATTTTCGACTGCCGTCGGATCGTGACGCGTTCTCTTGGCCCAATGGCAGTTATAAGGGGAAGACTCGATAGGTGGATCGCCCCCCCCTCCCCCACTTGGGATTTGATATTTTTAAATCTAGTGTATCGCTGGCCCAACAACACAAATCTGTAAATTTTCGAACTTATTGATTCGATAGCAAAATATTTAGAATTTTCTTGATCGTATTTTACGTTTTTAACCACGGATAGTACATTATATTAGTCCGTGGCACAGACACCATGTAGAAAAATGTATTCTATATATCTGTGGGTTATGGGTTTTTTCCGTCGTCTATGGACTGTGATTAGTATACGAAATAAGCTCACAGACTTCTACACTAAATTGGTATAGAAATCAGTAGATACACACTAAGGTGGGTAAACAATATAGTTTATCGTTTATCTACTTCCGTGGGCCGTAGCGATAGTGCGATACACAATATTGCTATCAAACGGTAGAGACTGATGTCATCTCGGTTAATGTTTTAATGTTATGTATTGCTACTTTGCGTGCGGATTTACTTATTTATTTATTTAGATTGAATGCATGATTTAGTTCAACAACTGGCGAAGACCGATTAAATGGGCTAGCGCAGCTTCATATCCACAGGGACTTAAATAGCAATGTAGATAATATTATTAAACGCTTTGCTAAGCAAAAGAAAAGGGCATATAACATATAAAAACATATTATGTTTTTATTGTAAATATTGTAACATAATGAATTATAAGTCAACACATTTATAGTACACTAACTGTCCCGTGCCCTGCGTCGCCCGTGCCAATTTGTATAAATTATTTTTTTTACGCATATTTATTTTTTGGTTTTGACCGTGTCAGAATTGAATGTAAATATTTATGTAGAAAGTGGGGATAGTCCGCCGAAGGTGGACTAAACGTGTTCTATTGTAAAATTTGAATAGTGGAAATAATAGTAATAATTATAATAGTTTTCTTATCCGTGACAACCAAATTATCATCCGTATCACCAAGGTAACCCTTGAACGAACAAACATAAATTAATAAACAAGCAATTAGATATTCGTACCAAATATACCTAAAACCCCTGTTTTACAAACCCTTAGAGTTTGAATTTTCAAAAATCCTTTCTTAGCGGATGCCTACGGCATAATAGCTATCTATATGCCAAATTTCAGCCCGATCCGTCGTGTAGTTTGGGCTAGGTGATGACGAATCCGTCAGGACAAGTAATTTTATGTATATGGATTATGTTTTATCTTTCTTTTAATATACATTAATATTCAAGTGTGTTATTAATATATAAACATTATTATACTTATAATCCGTATGTATATTTTGTATTAAATGTATATACTATATGTACAGAATGTGATGGAGTGGTGGAGGGTTGGCTTTAATTTCCCACCCCCCCTTAAAAATCATATATAACCACCACTGTTTCTTGTTGGGCAACTGTGGACACGTCAAAGGGAGCATTGCCCCGTTTAATTTTGATGGGAGGAAGTTGTCTCTCCTCGCCCCCCCCACCCCACAGTTAACGTCTATGATTCGGACACTCGGATATTCTGGATTTGTCTTTAACAAATATACATATATATATATATATATGTATAATAAATAGCATTTTATATTGTATCTTTAGAAATATCCAATTTAATTAACGTTAAACGGAACGAGTTTGGAGGAGGGCTATTGAAATTTTCGGTTTAGCTAAACCCCCAAAACCTCTTCTATTCGCGCGTGTATGTCCAAGGGAAAACCGCTTCGCTTAGAATTAGTCTTTTTTTTTAGTTTACAATCACTTGATTTGATTGTATTGTCTAAAAACATATCCATGCTTCTAAGCATTTGTTCTCATAAATCTCATTGAAATGCATAATCGTTTTCGATTAGCCCACTTAATCGGCCCATTGTACGACGCACAAGCATTAGCGGTCGAATGGTAAAAGGTATAATATAAACGTAGTTGACCTTGACTAATCAATAATCGCCACTAGCTCGCCTGACAACTCAGTTGACGATGATATTAAATATTATTATCGTTGCATAGGGGGAGCTGTATAAATTGGGAAAATAATTTGAAGGACTTTTAAATTACCGTGAAGCAAAATATAGGACTCTTCTACATTTCATTTATAACAGCCAACAGGCAAAATATCTCACGGGAAAATAAAAAGCGATAAATTAATTACACAGCTACTAAAAATCGTGGATAATATTATTAAGAAAAATATTGGCACACGAACTTACAAGCTCAGAAAATATTAAAAAGAAATTTTAAATTAGGAAAAGATATGAATTTTGAATGAAAATATGATTGTATACGTTTATTGTTTTTTTTTTTTTTTTTACAACAATCCAGTTTTGATCACCATGTTTGGTTTTTATGTTCCCGTTTAAAATTTTCGGGATTTATAAGTTCCTTAGAAAATATATTTTCTTCGGTTGCACGTATAGTATTCCTTTGAAACTCTGTTTATAGAAATTTACTTTTCCGAGTTGTATTTTCCTGTAAGTTTCCTTTCCTACTGAAAGTTGTTGCCATGATAAAATCATTCGTAAAAATTATTATTTCCAACGTTTTACATTTCCAAACAAAACTTGTCCTGGTTTATACTTAATACGCGTCCCCACGCTTACTATTCAATTTCTCTCCGAAAAACGAAATAATATTACAACCCATTCACGTGATATTTTCGAGCGTAATAACGACGAAGTCAAAAACATATACGCCCGAAGCGTCTGTACCAGAAATCGTATCAAATCGCAGTACTCGGGCATTCAAATTCGGGGTCGTCTAATCTAATCACCAACGAAGTGAGGGATTGAAAGTCGATTTATATTTATATAAACAATAGGCACGCACTACTGTTATAAAAAATACCATCATTATAGATATAATTGATTACTGTGTATACAATCCTCGACATGATATACTCAGAAAGTATTAAATTTTTACGGATTTTTTTCTTTTAAACAATTTAAGAAACAAGTAGCTCTAAAATTCTATGTAACCGTTATTTTTTGTTACCCATTAGGGAATAAAACCACTTTTGATTTTCAAATAGCAAACTACAATAGGTATAATTAAGAATTCCATAAATAGATGAAGTTTTAGTTTAAATATATTTTCGCGTTGAAATTTTTTAATGCCAGTCAACCTGTTAATGAGATATTCGTCTTTTAAATTTGAGTAGGGCGGGGGGAGGATAGTGGAGTACTGTTTAAACGCCGCGTTGCCACATAAATGATGGATGCTCCATTTAACACGAGATTCGAACATATAGTGATTAAAAAAAAAAGTTGGCGTAATTCTGTAGTTTTTTCTTAGTTTAAATTTTGACGGAAATCTTAAAAATCACGGCATTTCAACATACGTTTAACCAAATTTAGCTCGGAACCGTTTTTCGTAAACAATATGATTTATCTTTCAGTACGAATATAATTAAATATAAATAACTTTACGTATCCCATATCATCTCAACTTCCCATCTATAAAAACTATTTTTTTTTTTTTACATCAAGAGAAAATACACACACACACGACACACGTTATTGTAATTGAGAAGTGGCACACCATCGCAAGCTGACATCACTGACGTGAAGCAGCAGCCGGCGACCCGTATGATCTCAAGTGTTGAACTCTTAGGTATCGCCGGGCGTCACACAGCGACCGCGTACATTTTATAATTAATCACGACGATAACGTCGTAAAAGTGTTTGTGTAATAATTAAATAATACAGCGAAATAAACATAGATTAATCATTTTATTTACAATCGCAATTTCGACACGACCGTATTACGGTGTTACGAATCATTGATACTATTTACAAAAGTCATTATCATAAATATATAGTCAGGTAAAGCGTTTTCACGAAATCGTGCAACGTTTATTCGAATCACAGCTAGGCGTTTCAAATATCGGCATCGCAAACGCCGGAACTTCAGTCTTTGGTTTTGCAGGTTGTTATTTTGGTTTTACTCTCCGGGAAGAATTTGTCCATCAACATCTTCTGTTGGTTCAACACCTTCTTCATAGTTTTCTCCAACATCGCGTTCTGCATCTCACGATCTCTCCGGCAATCCTCTCTGAGAACATTGATTTTGTTTTCCAGAGAGTGCAACTTGAGTAATATGTTTTGTTCTGTCGTCGAATCCGTCTGCGTTTGGACGTCGCACATTTGAACGACATCTATTAGGGGTTCGGTCACGCCGTAATAATCATTATCCATTTCCATATCGTTCATGTATTCAGTCTTTATACTTTCCTCGGCGTCAATCGGTGGAGGAGAATCTAATAAAAAAAAAAAAAATACAAAATATTATAATTGCATATTATTAGACTCATATTGAGCAATTCATCCGAGTAACGTTTACTACAAATATTTTCTATCAATCATAGATTTTTAAGAATATTTCTTGTATTTACTTTGAATTTATTATAAAGGCTAAAATGTAATTTATTGAAAACTCACTAGAAACGACTTCACAAAGATATGTCATGGCGTTCCTCGGTTTGCAGCTTAATACTTCATGGAGCAGGGGAAAGTACGATAGTCTTGAACCCGCCGGACCGTTTTTTTCGATTCTAACTAACTCCACTTTGTAGTCTTGTTTTAAATGTTTCCACTTGGTCCTCAGTTGCGTAGCGTCTCTGTTGAAACCTGCTGCGGCCATCGGTTCAACTAGACTAGAATATAGATCTGAATTTCTTTTCCTAAACAGAGAAATAATAATAATTATATTAATATATTACAGATGTATACAGTTGTGGAGATTTCTATTTATAAAGGTGTTAAATTACATAATTTGTAGTTTTTATTTGCGAATAAAAATGTTATAGTATGTTAACACGTTTAATATATCAATAAGGATGTTAACTAACATTGCATAGCAAATTAATACCCAGAAATGTTTAGACATTTACATTAAAGTCTTATTTGGGACTCTAAAGCGAGGCCATTTTATTCACCCATGGCTATTATAATATATAATTTTAACTCAAACAAATGTATTTTATAAACTTTCGTTTCAAATCATGCTTCGTTTTTTAAATTTTAAAAAGCTGTCCTAAGATAATGGGGACGGGTTATTATTATACGGGTCCATTATTATAGATAATTTAATGTACATCCGTAAGTAACGATTAACCCTATTTTCCCGTTTTCCCTACGTTTTTTTCCAGTTTTCTCATGTTTCTTTTTCAGTTTTTTTCATTTGTTGGGAAAAACCTTGGGAAAACTAAATAATGACTTCCTTAAAGTACCACCTCAGTCAGATTTCCTTTCAGAAAATGGGCTACACTTGTAAATCGGAGCAAAATTACTGGTGGAAAAGTTTTTCATAGATAAAAAATAAAATAAACATCATTGTAAAACCAATATATTCCTCGCTTCAGTCAGTATCTAAAATGTCAGTTAACATCTTTATTGACCCCTTCAATTAAGGAGGAAGCCTGTAACAAGATTCTAAATATACACAACTAATACTGACAATTGTATCAATTAAACCTGATTCGACCTATTAATAAGAATTGGATTTTTTAAGATCTTTTGGTTTGAGTATACGTTTACAGTATATGTTGTTTGACAGTATACAAATTTGTAAGCACTTAAAATGTAATTTTTCGCTAGTAAACGTATACTCAAACAACATATGTGACTTTCCCTTGTCAATATTGTTAAAACTTTCACTTGTATCTCTATTATTATTTATTAGTAATAATTTTATTAAGTACCTTTATTATTTGTTACTCAATGTTGAGTTAAACAATATTAGATTTGAAAATGTAATAATAATACACGATGTTATTTTCCATATTTTTTTATTATACATTTCTTATGAACATTGAATATTATAAATGCGAGATCCAGAAATTAGCTCTTGTGGAATCGTTAACAAATTCGAAAATCTATAATATCCTGAACGGTATTTTACAATACATTTCGTTTATAGAATTATTAAATATAGCGAAGTCAAAAATCCTATAATTTAAAAGTTTGAAAAAATAAAAAAATAAGTACAAGTATTGTATACGTCATCGTCAATTACCATTTTGTACAGCTAAACGCCTAATATATGGTTGATACGAAGATGGCTTATATACAAAATTTGCCCTGGAAACGTGTTTAAAAACCAGAAATGAGAAGGTATACGTTCTAATAATATTGTGTGTAGTCTTTTATGCAGTACCGACGAGTTCCGCCCGGTTTGTATAAAAAAATGTAGTCTTGCACTCTTGTTCGGTCTTGATACGGGTAAAAAAAAATATATATATAAATGTATGCCTGTCTTGCTCGAGCGATCTCAGATTATAACTGTATATCCGGTCCTGTGGGTCGAAAATTATAAACCGTGCAGAACCCACGGTAAATGGAAAGCTTCAATATTGGCAGAAATATTATGTAGAGGACACGTCTTACAATAATACTGGACATTTCGTTTGACCTTCAATAGTATAAATTATTGTGTACAGGAAATCGACTGTTGGTAAAATTGTTGGAAAAAAAACCGAGTGCAATAAATCATTCTTCGGCCATCGATATTATTCATTCTCATCGTAATCGGTTAGGAAATTTATACATTGAAAAACGGTTGAATTTTGTCATGTTAACATATTGTACCTAACGTTTAATAAATAACCCAGAAACTAGTGTTTCATTTAAGAAAAACATTCAGAGTGCATTTAAATATTTAGTAAAAGAACTATGTATACAAAAATTACTGATTCATGTGTTTCCCAAAATAAATAAATAAATGAATAGTATTCTAATGCTAATACATATATTCTCTTAAAACGATATCGAAATGAAAACCGTTAACCATTAAGGATTAAAGAAAACACAAATCGATGTTATAATAGAAGAAAAAACATGTTAACATCCAAAGTAAGACAATTTATCAATTTAACTAAAACCGATCAATTAGTCGAGATAATACGTATACGTTTATTTAAAACAAATTTTATCATTGAGATTAACGATTGAATTTACGATGTTTATTCCTTATTTTTTATGTGAATACTTTTTTTACCAGAAAGCGTACTACGATTTTCAAGTGTAGTACCTTTTCTGAAAGGAAATGTTATCTGGGTGGTACTTTAAAGGGGACATTTTTTGGATTTCTCATTAATATTCGAGATAATGAGAAAACCCTGGTTCTTTAGGTTAAAAAAGATTGAAAGATTAAAAATAAGTTTGTTATTGGCAACCGTTTTTATTATTTTATTTTGTTATTTAAATATTTTTTAAACAATCACAGTTGTCATGGAAACGTACATGGTTGTAATCATTTTACCGTAATATGACAAAACAATACTATCAACTGAACTCCGCTCAGAATCGTTTTTTCGTTAGCAATGGTTTATTGTTGTTAACAGATTAAATTCTCGTCTGTATCCTACCTTGCCAACTTTCCACTTAAAATAGTGGCTGCACTAACGTGCGAAGTATGTCAGTCTTTTTTTTTTTTAATTATGTACCTATGAATTCACTGATGAAATGCTAAATATAGAAAATTAATTTTCGATTTTCTGTTTTAAAAATTTCCAAAATAAATATATTGTTTTTTGAAAATTTAGTGAGATAACCACTAAAAATTTGTATGAACATGGAATTTGAAATGAAAATACATCAGCACAGAGTAGTGGTATGGGTGTAAAAAATGTATAAATTAATATTTGAATGTTATTGTTTTCTCCTACATTGCATTCGCACTACGCGTAAGTATGATGCACTGTTAATAAATGTAATGTTTACGTAGTTGTACATTACACAATGCACCTATACGTGAGTAATACAAATACTTTTTGTGTTTCGATTATTTTAAAAATTAGACGGAGTGCGTGTTTGACAATAATTATAATTAATAACGTTTATGAAATATTTTTTTATCCGTCCAGAATCCCGATAATGCCTCACGCTGTAACACACTTCATAAAAACTAAAGTCTGTTAGAAATAATAACACATTGTATAATATTCTACACACCGAGTTACAATATTAAGTTAATGATATTTAATTAATCATCGTATTTTATGTTTCGATTGAACAAAAAAAAAAAAAAAAAATAATAATAATAATCATTGTGCTTTCATAAAATATAGCCGGAATTCAATATTGATAATTTTTTATCTTATCGTGTATACACAACGTGTTGCACATAATATATTATAATAATAATGTGTAGTACTGTGGTTGCATACTGGCATATTATTATACATAATGTGCCGTGCGTTATTATCTCCAAATAATTTCCTCCTTGTATTTATAATGAGTAAATAGAAAATTGTTTTCAACGTTTCGGCCGAACGATAAATTAAACATCCAAACTTATATTTCTGTATGATTATTATGTTAAAATATAAAATCTATAGGTATACATATAAATCAAACAAAAAACCGGACATAATTCTTACCATGGGTACTATAATAAGTAAAATAATAATATTATATAAGCCACTTTTGTACATTGAAAGTAACGATAAGTAATTGCAATCATAAAACTATCCTGAGCAAGAGCTGTTTGATATCTAGAATTGTTTTTTTCAAGGTACCTACGGAGTAAATCACGTTGAGAATTTTTGCTGGAGAGGTGTTTTCCGAGAAATAAACTAAAAAAAAAGATCGAATGGATTGAACTGTTGACATTTTTAAAAATTGTTCAAGTAAAACGCTACCGCCCGAAAAATCAGCATCTTGTAAGGTATGGAGAAGCCGTCTACACCTATGATCACTCATTTTAATTTAATTTGTAAAAATAGGGTAATTTTGTAATTTGATAGCCAATACGGTTATTGTTATTCGTTATATTTATCTATAATAATTAATTTACCGGGTGATAATAATTATTATATAAACAGAAAGGGGCGTCTTTATAAGGGGGGGGGTGAAGAATCAGACTTTAATTGGCATTTGGTATAGCCATTGGTCCAGAAGTAGATATAATCAATATATTTGACACAATTTTTTTTCTCCCTCCCCCCCCCCATAGCCAAGGTCTGGAGACGTCCTTGAAAACAGATGGCCATAAAACGGGGAAATATTAGTTGAAAAATAAACAAATTTCTTATTTTATAATGTTTTCACTAGACATTGAAATTCAAATTAAATAATGGTAAACTTATACAGTGTATTTATAGTTTGGTTTTTCAAGTTTTTTCGACAACGGTTGCTAGATTAAATCGAATATAAATACATGCAAATTTTTAAGATGATCCCACAGGTCACTTTACGGGCGCGAAAAGAAAAATTCTCAGTTGACTTTATACTATAAATTTCTATAATAGCTATTTCGATACGCTCAAAATTGAAAATAACATTAGTACACCAAGTGAAATATTATATTGTCAGCGAACAATAATAATTATTATTATCATGCGCGATGCGCAAAAAATATAATACAAATGAAAAAAAAAGAATTATATATCATCAAATTATAATATTATAATTTAATGAACCTAAACCGCGGTAAACCGGCAACTTAAAAAGATAAAATAAACAAACGTTTTAAAATAATGTGTACCTACTATATTGTAACACATTATAAAATAATATTTAAAACGGTTTCGTTGCAACAACATAAAAATCGTACAAAACGCTGTAATGAAATACGTTTTATGGTGCAGAGGGGGATATCGACGTTTTTTTTACAATAACAATATAAAATATTACGCTGAAGGTGAACTAAAAATTATCGCTATAATATTTAACAGACATTCGCAATCACAATAATGTATTAGAATTAATATTTATTGTTATAATATCGTGTATTGGGTTATTTAAAAATAATTCATTAGAACGACGTTATCGGCGTTAACTTTTATCCCGACCAAAACACCCGGTATTATTGGATTTTAATTTTCTGTTTGTATATACAAGTGAACCGCACTCCCAAAGTTCAGTTACAGACGTCACGTTAATCATTTTGGACGTTTTACATTCGCAAAATATAATATAGGTAACTGCCACAATTTATTATAACAATATATCGCGTCTTTTACAGTTGCATTTTGTACGCTCGGCAGTTTTTTATTTTTTTTTTACACGGAGTTTGCGGAGCGTTTTTTTTTTGTACGGATATCGCTTAGTTTTTTGTCCTTGTGCCTATTTAGACGTTCATATTAATTCATGTATTCGAATATTATTTTTAATCGGTAAATAATGGGCGAACTCGTATAGATTTCGGTTGCCGTGGTTGAATATCATTATTTAGTTATACCGGTTGCGTGCGATTAGTTAGAAAAAAAAAAAATACGCTCGGCATCTAAAAAAATAATATTTCCGAAATTTAGCGAATTTCAGAAAATTAAACTTCGCCATACCTCGCGGTTATAACATTACTGAAATTCTACGCTCGTCCTTCTACGCGCCATTTCTGATCGGACGAGCGCATTTTGTAATATTATAATTTTGTTCGGCCATTTAACCGCTCTAGATTGTCGTTTGAATAATTTTTTTTTTCGTATCGAAAATTCACATATCGTTGTGTAATTATTACGCCCCGGCTGTCCGCGCATTATCGTTGCCTATGCGATTGTTACACGGCGTTTTTGTTTTCATAATATACACAATAGCGCGCCCCCGACTCCCTGCCTTGGCCGATACAATGTGTTTCTCGGATTTCGTTTGTGTTTGGCCATAGTCTCATTTTAAAAGTCAACAACACCCGTTTATGATATGAGTGTTTATAAATGAGCACTCGATTGATTGTAGTTTGTTGTTATTAAAAATCAAGTAAGTATTTAAAATATAGTTCCATTCTACGTAATTGTCAAACAAAACGACGTCTGTATGTACACATTATATTATTACAGTCATTAAAGATGTAAAATCAATTATCATTGTGTATTTTAAATGCAGTATCATCGGTTATCATCGATTGGTTATTGTCATTAAAAAAAAAAAAAAAATGAAACACACTAAAAAAAATACTCGTAATTACTATTAACAGAATTAATTATTCGAGTAGGTATTCTTTCGAAATGTTCTTTTATTACTTAATGTTAACTAACTGCGCGAATTTACAGTTAAATTGTAGGTTAGAATAATATTGGAAACGATACCTATTTAATCATTAGGCTTGTTTGTAGAAATTTCGAAGATTGAAGTACCTACTACTGCGGGTCTACTCAATAGATAAATAATACTTTCAAAAACAACATTTTGAATACTGGTAATATAAAATAGATGGTAAACTGTGAAAAAATTAATCTTTTTCTGAAAGCCGACTCAAAAAAAAAAAAAAAATCGAATCAAATCGGCTAAATATTCCTGCAGCACAGTTGAGGAATATTATTTACAGAAGTTATACACATTTGTATAGTGGTATCGTTGTGCTTTTGGTTTTTCTAAACATACGAATAAATATTAAGCGAGGCAACTAGATAAGATAATGTAACTGTATGATAAACATGCGATATTCTATATCGCAGGGAAAAACTAATGGTCGATAGATTAAAATAAGTTATAGTTGGACAATTAGACGATTGGAATTTACAAACATATTTAATATCGAACCCCTCCAAAATATGCCCATGCGTACGTTATAAACTGCGGACTCCCTCCTCTAAGAAAATACGCCACTAAAACTGTGACAGAAAAATAAATATTACTATGCTAATTGCAGCGATAAATCTGATAAGGTATATAATTTCACGGCGATAACACAATCTTAAATGGCATTACGGTTCATTTACGGGTATATACGTACAGTGGTGATTGGCACTATCGAACAGTTCGAAAAGTATTGTTTATACTACTACTACAGTATCGAATAGTTTTTCCACAACCTAGTAATTTTTTTCAATGCCGAATAGTTTTTTGACTATATCGAATACCTAGTTTGAAACAATCATCGAACAGTTTGATAGTAACTATTCGGTATTAGTGGTCATCACTAGTGCGTATGTACTAATATCAGCTATCAGTCGGATATCAAGACCACAGTCAAAAGTGATCAATTTGTAATATTATTGTCGTCGACTATTTCTGTATTTCTGTCGCAGTTCACGCGTGGAATTTTAGAAAAAAAATAATAATTTCGTCGTTTACATTCACTCAGCCGACACAGGCACTCGAACACTCGAGTAAAACTTGAAAAAATCTGTACACGGTATTATTATAAACGAGGGCGACCACTGCGTACTCTATAATATAGAAAATAATAACGGTCCGATAGTAAAAGCGTGGAAAATAATAACGGCAGCAAATTAAAATACGGACCACTTGTAGAACAGTGGTTGGTTTTGTTCGACACGTGGTTACCCAGGTTGGTATGGTTACCGGTGAGGAGGTCGCCGCGTATTTCAGTGGTACCGTTTTCCGGTCGATTTGTTTATAAGATGGCGTGATACCCGCATGTGTCGTCTCGGCCGGCCAACCGACGGGCGACGTGGCTCACTAACGGACTGCGTAGAACTCGTTCGGTTTTCGTTTTTATTGTAAAACGACTTACATATTGTACATCAATTAAAAAAAAAGACCGATGTTCCGGAGGGCAAGACGACTTTTTTTTCCCGTCCAATACTATTCCGAATACGTCGTTTGGAAATAACCGCTAATCCCACATTTTTAAACAACGTCTCGCTCTTTTGATTTTACGACAGGCGCTTTTACTCATTAACGGAAACTGAACGAGTTATGCGCAATCTGCGTACGGACGCCACGTTGTTGGGTATCACTTCTTCTCGCGGTATACTCGCGTGAGCCGTTTCGGTCGTACGACACAGCGAATTTTCGTTCAGCAGGGATAACTATCGGGGCTCACTCGATTCCACAGTACCACAGCGAATCGAACCGAACTTAAAAACAAGACAAAACCAGCGGTTTTTTCCCCGGTTATTTTAACTTTCAAACGAAATACAAGCGTTTTAAAACCGCGATATTTCGCGCACCCGTATCCCGTCACGTTCTCGTTTTTGTGTTTGGTAACGGGTCGGATTCACTCAGACGCAAAACCCGACGGCCCGGCGCAGTGGCGTGCCCGGGAGTTTTCAATGGGAGGGGATGAAGCGAATGAGAATCGTAAAATCGTCTACTCAACTCGGCTAAGGGGAATTGGTAATGGCCGGATCCTAAAAAAAAAAATAGCAAATTTCTAATAAATTTCACCGAACTTTTCCCCTCTTTGCTGATATATACGCATTTCCATGTAAAATTACTCGTGGGTTTTTGTATTTTTAAGCCGACCGGGGGGGGGAGGGATATAACACCTAACCTCGACCCCCTGCGATCGAAAAAACATCGTACCCGAGCAGTATACGTCTGTCGACGATTCTATTTAATTACAACGATAATTATTATGTTACACGCCTATAAGTCATAGTATTACAATATCGTTTTTTTAAATTTTATACGATAATATTATGTTATTATGATAATTTGCCGGCCGCGGCGCACGGACACGACGACGAGGCGCATTATACGCGGCCGGCAGGTACGCGAATAATAATAAAAAAACTATGCGTCTCTGATGCGTAATGTTATTTATTAATTCCGTACCGTGTAAATACGATTACGTGTCTTATACTTAATGCAATCTGTACTCGGGTAGCGGTTACACGTGTAGGTCGAGGCACACGATTAAATACCGCACGGACGAGACTTCGTATATTCGTATATTCAAATATATACACAACAATAATATTATTAAAATATACCTACGGGCGCGAAACGATTGGGTCGCTTATGCGTTTTAAAGGCCGTAAGTAATCGAATTTCGTCCGTCGTCGTGCGCGGTGGCAACAACAACAACAATATTGTTAGCGAAATGCGAAATGTCGCGTAGTACGGGAAAAATCGAATGTACGGAAAAAAAAAAAACAAATCGAACGAGCGCGTAGGTACCCACTATACGCTACAGAGAGAGAGAGAGAGAGAGAGAGGGGGAAAAAAAGGATACGAAAACAACACACGGTCGTATTGTTATGTAACGTACGTTGTTTTTTTTTTGTTTTTTCCCTGTGACGACATATTAAATTATCATAAAAAAAATTAATAGGTACGACCGGCGGCGGCCGAGAAAACGAATCGTAATTATTGTTACAATACTAGCTGTACACTATACGTATTATCGTCCGAACGTGCCGGTAAAATGGCGTCGGCGAACCGAACGCGACCGAAACGGTTTCGAGGCGCGAGTATTGTTATTATTATTATTATAATTTTTTTTTTTTTTTTTACATTTTCCCGTTTCGTACGTCGCCAGCTGCCCGCCGGCCCGACCCACAGGCGAATTCGGTCTTTTCTTTTTTTTTCCCTCGTCCTAACCACCCCGTCGATAACCCCGAGTTCCCCGTCGCTCCGCTCCGCACCGACGACGATAGCCACCGGCGGCACCGGACGCCGCACCGCTACCGCTACCGCCGCCGCCGCCACCGCCGCCGTTACGTTCGAATTCCCGATTCGGTGTGCGAGACGCAACGCGCCGGCGCACGGCTCGCGCAACACTATACCATTAACGCGGTATCACACGGAATATTGTCGTTCATTATCACTTTTATCGTCGTCCGCCCGCCGGCTGTCGCGGGCGGACGACGTGCGTTCGCGTCATTGTAACGCGCGCGCCGATGATAATAACGCTAAATATTATCGTAATTCCGTAACCGGCATTAGTAAAATACGTAATACCGTCACTGTCGTGCCCCGTCCTCGTTATCGGGTATCGCGCGGGCAGCGTTCTTATTGCACAATAATCACTATCGTCAAAGATCGTTAAAACTTTAAAAACGTCTACGGCGCCGCGCGCATTTTTGTCGATAGGTAGGTATAGGTAGTGGGTATAGATACCTCTTGCTGTCCAACATGTTGGTCATTCCCATTTCGATGATGAGCCTGATGAAGTGTTCGGTCTCCCGGTCCGACCATATATACCGCTTCCTGACTTCCGAGGCGGAAAACGACATCTTTCTGCCGTGCATTTCTGACGGCGGAAAACCGATTAAAAAGAGACTGCCGGGACGGAGAGAGAGTGAGAGAAAGAGAGAGAGAGAGAGTGAATGAGAGAGTGAAAAACGCGCGTCCGGACTGACGTGTGACCGCGGCTACAGCGCGCAGTGGCGGCCCGGCAATACAATATAACGTAACGCGACACGGCGGCGGTCGTCCTCGCACTGGTTCACACGCTTGGGGCCCCCGTCGACGACGGCGCGCCGCGGTATCGAGCTGGCTCAGTCCCGGCCCCGGTCGTGTGCACACGGAACAGCTGCCGTGTCGCCGGCACCGGCGGTGCGCATGCGCGAGCTCCGGTCCCGCCGCGTAGTATTGGTATATATAAAATAAATACCGTCGTGGCCGCCGCCGCCGTCGCTGCCCGTCTGCCTCGCGCTCGCACGCGTGTGTTGGTGTGTGTGTGTGTGTGTGCGTGTGTGTGTGTGCGCGTGTGTGTGTGTGCGTGCGCGACGCGCGTGTACAACAGACGGCCCGCAGTACCTACGCCGCGGCAGCCGGACGGACGGCTGTGGCCGCCCGTGTCGGCCCAGTTTCGGGACCGCAGTCGCTAACCTAAACCCCTCGCCCTCCGTCCGCCGATGACGGCTACAACTACTACTACGACTTCTATTGCACTCGCGACGGCACTGCGCGGTTGGGTTACGCCGCCGCCTCCCCGCGCGCGCAGAAATTATTTCGTAACCGGAATCGCGGGACCCCAACGGACCCGGAGTCGGCCGCGTGTACCTACCGGCGGGCCCGCTCACCTCGAACCGATATTATTCTTCGGCCCACCTATACAACAATAACGTCGATAGTTTTGTTTAATTTTTTTGTTTTTTATTTTATTTTTTTTTTTCTATCCGACCGTTTTTAACGATGCTATTTCTTGCCGTCGTCAGTGGGAACTAATTATTTTAACGGGGCATCGTCTGAACCGCGGATACAATTCGCCGGTTTTATAGTTATGGATAGAACCGTCGCGTTCAATAACGCGTATAAAATTCATTTTTTCTTTCTTTCTTGTCACCCCGCTTCCCCTCACGAAATATTAGAAAAATACAAATATACGAATAAATCGATTACACGGCGAAAAAATAATTATAAGTCTCGAGTGACGGGAAAGCCGAACGGGACATAAGTACTTTGGATCGCGGGCAGGCCGTTCGTTTATAGACGCAAACTTGGGGACTTGGGAGAGCGGCGATTTAGTTTTAAATTCAAAGATGAATCGTTGAAAATAAAGCGGAGCTCGTTTAGCCGGTTGCCGTGACGACTTTCGAAAAAAAATTCTTGCGCTGTAGTTGTTCTATCGGAAAAGGAAATTTTTTTTATTCTTTGAACATTTTTAATGATGGGCAAAACCGAGAATATTTATGCAACAACGGTTTCTGGTAAAACCGATTTGGCTCTTTTGTTATAGTGTAGTGTAAACCGCGGTAGCAGAGAACAGATCTATCTAATACTTACTGCAGACATTAGTATTTTCTGAAGGTGGTGCATTTTAAAAAATATTCCGGCTTCATTCAAGTTATTTATAGCTATTTAGAAATGTTCGTGTTTTTCTGATTTTACGTTGATGCAAATACGCAATGGCTATTATGAAAATATTCAACAATTTAGTAGACGTTTCATTATAATAAGTTGCGTTAGATGAAAAAAAAATTTTAATCTAGACCACCGCTTTGTTGTTGACTTCCAATGAACTCCGCTCAGCAGAGCCGTTTTTCGTTTGCATCGGAAATGAAAAGATCAACACGATACTGGCTTCGGGAGAGCGGGAGCTGTCGGTCGTTCGCATCACTCCTTCTCCCCCCCTCTGTTGAATATAGGTCTGTCTTGGGTCAATTGAACGATGGAGTATACCGGTAAACGTGTAAAACCTTTGGACACAATTATAGTAGACGCTCCCATCACAGATTCTAGCCTTGAAATATTAAACATTAAGAATATTCAGTACACATTCGTTAATTGATCGCATTAATTATACAAAATAATCCGTTTAAGTGGCCACACGCGAGATATTTCGAAAAATATTTGCTTTTTAAAATTGTTGTTTTTTTTTTTTTTTAACAATTTAAGAAACAAGCGACTCTAAAATTTCCTATTTTCATTAGTTTTGGTAGCCCTTATTTTTTCAGGGTGAAATGATTCAAACGCCGGGCCGCAAAATGATGCTTTACTATTACGCTCCCCTACCCATTACTTGAAAGCGAAACACCTCGTCGTCGACGAATTGACGGAAATCGAAAAATTCAACGCCGACATTTATTTAAACTATAATATTCCGTTTATTTATGGAGGTATTATTATAACAGTTTCGGAAATCAAAAATAGGTAGTCGTTTCATTACTAAAAATGAGAGCGACAAAAAAAATAATGGAAATGTAAAATTTTAGAGCCGCTTGTTTCATAAATGTTCAGAAAAAAAAAAAATAATAATAAAAAACGTTTGAAAAGTGAGCCGCTTACACATTATGGACCGTCTAGTAAACGAGAACGCACCCTCGGCGATACTGTAGTACGTGTCGTCGTTCGTCCGCGCGTACAATATTAAAAAAAAAAAAAAAAACTGTTAATATAAACAATTGCGTAATGAGGGTCCGAGTTTTTTTTTTTTTTTTTAATTTTATTTGAAGCTTTTGGTCGTAAATTCGATCTTTTAATGTGCGCGCATTTAAAATACATAGATATACTTACGTGTAATGCATAATCGCGATTAAAAATTATATTATAAATTATAATATTATATGGTGTGTACGAAATTATCGACTCGTTTTACAGTCACTATAGGTGTATAGGTATGGATATATAATATTATTCTTGAATTTATAATTTTTCCCCACAATTTTCCTGTATTGACGTTATTATTATTTTAACCATTTACTGTATACGTATATACTATATATATATATACACTATACAGTGAATATTAACTATGTAAATTCGGTTTGAAAAAAATCAAGTTTTTAAAAAAAATAATAAAATTAATTACAAATGGCGTAAACGCATAAACCTACGACTACGTCGTTAGAAATCCGTCGTAGGTATACTTACTATTTAGTAAAATAATTATTATCGTCGGTTATTATTGCAGTTATTAAGTACCGTATAAAATATACAGGGGTTTTAACCGATTTTGAAACACTTAGAGGAAACACTTAGAAGCGGTTCTTCGCGGATACAAAATATAAAAAACAACGTTATAGTACAATAAGACGAGTTCGGTCGTGCATGTTTTCAAATGTTTACTATTTTTGTCAAAATTGGATACTAAAACGCTCTTAAGAAAAAAACTACTATACATTTGCACAACGGTTTTTTTTACCCAAAATGTACTAAGTACATATAATGAATTCTTGTTAATATTTAAGTATTTCATTAACGTCAAACGATTTTATCCACATATAGTATTATAGTACCTACCAAACAAAAACTATAAAGTACGTTTTTCTCTCGGTTTTGTCTCGGAAAACTACTCGGGAAACAAAAACCGAATTCTTATTCACCAACTATATCCAAAATTCAAGAAAAAAGGTGTCTTGGCATTTTTCGATCGGAACAAGATTTCTGGTAGAAAAGTTGTTTACAAATAGAAAAAAAACGCCACACGTTATAGTAAAACCAATACATTCCTCGGTCCGTTCGGAATTTAAAAGATCGCTGGTTTTCGATACCTTTTTCACTATTCCTCAATTATTTTATTATGAGTTACTTTTCATCGTTATTTAAATAAATTCCTTACTATTCTTGTTTTGTATAATTGTAATGATCAAATTCATTAGTAAGAAATATGAATATAGAACGTATTGTTTCTAGTTTTCTACACGCACGGTAACTATCGGACCAATGGCAATGTAATCATAAGTGGAATGTTTAAAAAACAAAAACTAAATAAAGTTGGAGGTTCCTAATTTTTAATTTATAATAATAATTATCATTATGTAAAAATATTTTCTTAATTAATATTTGTGTTAGTAATTTTTATAGAGTTCGGAAATCGTACGAGTTAAAGTTCTCAGAGGACTTGTATTATATCAATTACCTATAATTTATAAATGTGATTTTTTTATTGTTTAAGAATTTAAAATGTAAATTTTAATTTTGAAAATGTAAACAACTCGTTTATCCTACACTTGCTAAAAGAGATAAATTATGTTTAATTTGCTTTTTATTTGTATATTGTAAATGTAATATAGGTATACAAATCTTTAAGTAATAATAATAAAAAAAAAAATATGTAAAGATGTTGAGTAAATTCCGGTTTTTTAAATAGAATCGTTTAACGATTTTATTTTCACAGTTTTACTCTTGTTCCGTATATTAGGTACTGTTGATTGTCCAATAGCGACCCACACATTTCTAAACTCCGATTCTATAATGTCTGTAAAACCAAATCAACCTATTTATAAATAATCTGCGGTTACTGATAATATATTCACTCTGTATAGGTACACGCTAAAAACGGGCGTAATACTATCATTATGAGCGTACACGTATTATAGCTGTCAAACTGCATAACTAAAGCGAAAGTAAATAGGTACTAGCTAGTGTATAATAATATGTAAAGGAAAAAACCAGTCACAGCACGTTGAAAATGATCGCAAATGTTTCATTTTTTTTTTTTTTTTTTTTTTTTTTCTATTGCGGTGTACCGCCGTAGTGTTTTACCGAGTTTTCGTTTCGAATTTACGTTTTTACGAAAATGTGTATTTCACACATAAATTATTACATACGAGTAGAAATTTTTTATCTCGATACGAAACGACAATATTTGCGGGTTTTTTTTAACGGTTAATAATGAATATTATTTCACGATCATAATAATAATATATCGACGACTGAATTTTTAGGTTTACGTTGTATCATAATATATATAATCAAACTAAGCGTTAACGGGCCAGCGAAATTGAACTGATGACGTTCCTTTGCGCACATTAATCAATAGCGATATTATTATCTCCGTTTCCCTATTATACCTACGTGTCGAAAAATAAACATTGAACACATGAATAATTAATATATTGTAAAAAATGCGCGACTATACCGAGTGTACCCGTTTACTATAAATTATACACGGTTCGAATAGTTTCCGAAGGTTTTCAGTTAATTTGATATTGATTTTTTTTTTAGAAATTTCAAAGAATATAGCATAATATTGTGGATCAATACTCGGTTTAATATGATTTTACTAACGA